GCAGATAACAGTCAGCTGAAGTGGTCTGCAGTACTGCACCCTAACCACTGCGCCTTTAATGCTGGGGAATGAAAGAGCAGAAGAGTATGACAAGCAGCAAGATGGGTGGATTTTGTTGGAATAGCAATGATTGCACTGGTAGAACACTTGAAAGACCAAGTTGGGAATATACGTTGCCGTTGAAAAATTGCATCTATGTGGTTGCTAAGACTTGACATTGAGTTGATGTCCAAAAGATGCTTTTTCAGGAGGCAACTGGACGTTGTTGTTTTTTTTTCTTTTCAAGAGGTTTTGCTTCTCATCCAAGAAGCTTCTTCAGCTCTGAAAGGATAGTGGGGAATGGAAGGATTTATGTTCCTTGCAGACAGCTGGTCATTTGCATTCTTTTAGAGGGTTGTTGAAGCACTTGGAGCTTTATCTGTGTCCTCAGGGTCACCTGAGTGGTGCAAACTGTTCCTATAGTCTGCATTTGTTTCCTCTGGAAATCCATTTCTTCCTACTCCCACACCATTCAAAGGGTGTTCATCCCGAACTGTATAGCTAAAAGTCTGTAGAGATTCTCAATCATCCAGGTCATGGTTGTCCCAAAGGTGCTTTTTCAGGAGGCAACTGGACGTTGTTGTTTTTTTTTCTTTTCAAGAGGTTTTGCTTCTCATCCAAGAAGCTTCTTCAGCTCTGACATGAATAGTGGGGAATGGAAGGATTTATGTTCCTTGCAGACAGCTGGTCATTTGCATCCTTTTAGAGGGTAATTAAAGCACTTGGAGGTTTATCTGTGACTTCAGGGTCACCTGAGTGGTGCAAACTGTTCCTATAGTCTGCATTTGTTTCCTCTGGAAATCCATTTCTTCCTACTCCCACACCATTCAAAGGGTGTTCATCCCAAACTGTATAGCTAAAAGTCTGTAGAGATTCTCAGTCATCCAGGTCATGGTTGTCCCAAAGGTGCTTTTTCAGGAGGCAACTGGCCTTCCTTATTTTTTCTTTGGAAGACGTTTTGCTTCTCATCCAAGAAAGCTTCTTCAGCTCTGACATGATAGTGGGGAATGGAAGGATTTATGTTCCTTGCAGACAGCTGGTCATTTGCATCCTTTTACAGAGTAATTGAAGCACTTGGAGGTTTATCTGTGACTTCAGGGTCACCTGAGTGGTGCAAATGATTCCTGAAGTCTACATTTTTTCTGTCTGGAAATGCATTCCTACTCCCACACCATTCAAAGGGTGTTCATCCCAAACTGTATAGCTAAAAGTCTGTAGAGATTCTCAGTCATCCAGGTCATGGTTGTCCCGAAGGTGCTTTTTCAGGAGGCAACTGGACTTCCTTATTTTTTCTTTGGAAGACGTTTTGCTTCTCATCCAAGAAAGCTTCTTCAGCTCTGATAGGATAATGGGGAATTTGTAGCTCAGGATTGAAATGAGGGGTCCTTGGTGCTCTCTGAGCTTGGTTGTTTTCTTGTAGTTGTTTCATTACACAAACTCAGTGGTGGGATTCCAAATCTTTTCCTGCCGGTTCTATGAGAGAGCACTTTGTGCATGCGCTCAGGGACCACCCTCAGTGTCAATGCTGGTGAACTGAGCTGTGTTTTAGCTCAGCTGTGGCGCGGGAATCCGCTCTGCCGTGCAAATCAGCTGAGCTAAAAAACAAGGGAATTTAGGACAGGGAACAATGAGGGTGGGAAGGCAGGGCCTACCATAGGTGGTATCTGCCGGTTCTCCGAACTACTCAAAATTTCTGCTATTGGTTCACCTGAACCAGTCCAAACTGTCTGAAAACCACCTCTGCCCAAACGGCCCTATCAGCTGAGCTAAAAAACAAGGGAATACAGGACAGGGAATGATGAGGGTGGGAGGGTGGTGCCAAACATAGGCGGTATCTGCCGGTTGTCTGAACTACTCAAAATTTCTGCTACGGGTTCACCTGAACCAGTCCAAACTGCCCAAATGGATAACATCATCAGTGGTAGTAAGGAATGGGGTTTGTAATCCATTTATATTCTACTTGCCTTGCCAGTTGGTGGGTGTGGTCTTGGTAGTTCTTTGGTTGGGTTTACCTTGTTTGGCAGTTCTTTGATTAGCTATATTACTTCTTGATTGTTGGTCTGATGTTAAGGTTAGAACATAAACTGACAGCAAACAACATTCCCTATCGGCATGGATGATGTTACCTAGTTTGGGTACTGAAACGTCTGCAAGAAAACAACCAAGCTCAGAGAGCATCAAGGACACCTCAGGAGGCTTTCTACTCCAATTCGTACCCTTAACCAATTCAGCGAAATGTAAACAATGATCCCTCCTCAAATGTTTAATTTTGACATGATCACAATCTCATTCCAAAATGTTGCTTCCTGTTGTGCTCAACTGCAATCTTCTCCTGCAGAACTTGCAGCGGTTTTTATTGATATTTGATTTATTATTAGATTTATTGTTCAATACAGTCCGATATCTGTAGGTATTTACTGATAATTTTTCTTAGACAAACTTTAAAGCTTAGTTTTTGAAGGAAACGGGGGGGGGGGGAGGACAAAATACTCAAAAGTACAAAAATTAATTTTTTTTCTTGTGTCTCCTTCATCCCCCCCATCCCCCTTTTTATTGTAGGTGATGTCTCTCCAGTGCACATGAATCCAATTTCCCAGTCTCAGTTTGTTCCTTTGGCAGAGGTCTTGTGTTGTGCTATATCTGATATGAATGCAGCTCGTATTACAGTTACACAGGAAACACTACTGCATCAGTTGGGAAAATACTACCCAGGTAATCGGCTAAATCGAGGGCTGTGGATATTGAATATAAAAGTTCAGGCTGCAGTGAGAAGAGTGAAAAGCTAGATACTGCTTGGGAATGGGGGAGCCATCTTAATTCCCTTTGCAGATCAAAATGTAAAACAATGTCTTCTAACTTGCTTTGGGTCATCCTAAGAGTAATAATATAAACCTGGAAATGCACATTTGAAGCTGCCTTGTTATCCCTGCATTTTTGGAGCTTGGACCTCAAAGTGACACCAGCTCTTCCCAAGATACACATAATGCCTCTGTATCCAGTGAGCATGCAGAGATGTGCAGCCTCTTGCCATACACTGTGATGGGCGAACTGCTCATTTCCAGCAAAAGATGTGTCAACATCCTACTCTTCTCCCTGTTATTTGGCCCTCTCTCAGCTAGCTACTCAGCAGTGACTCCAGAAAATTGGTTCATTGACTGCAGAGTGTTTGCAGATGCTGTTCAATCTGCTAGTAATATCTCTCTCTCTCTCTCTCTCTCTCTCTCTCTCTCTCTCTCTCTCTCTCTCTCTCTCTCTCCCTCCCCCTCCCCCTCCCCC